GCCTATCCCTTCTGAAGAGTTTATAGCTGTCCAGTGCAGCACTCCAGTTGTGCGAGTCATCCTGCCATGTTTCTATGATGGCAACTATTTCAGTTTTCCTGCTGCACAGTGACTTCCAGCTCCTCCTATCCGTTGCCCATGCTGTGTGTATTGGGGTAGATGCACTTCAGTTGGGCTACTGATCCCACCACCTTTTTTGGGAGAAGAAGCCCTAATTCCTATGTGACCATTCTCAGCTGCTTCGGTGGTTTCTAACACATCCATAACCCTTGTGTCTTTGCTGCCGCATGGATCTCCATCCATACGTCGACTGAGACGGCAGACCGAAGGACCTCGCTAGCACACCGTCCCTCAAACATTGGCGTGCTGCCCCCAGGCTTATCTCTAGCGAGCCTGGTTTTATCCCTTTCCTCCTTCAAATCTAGTTTAAAGCTCTTTCAATGAGCTTTCAATGAGACTATGCAGAAGTCATCAGTTTCTGGATGAAAAGCAGCTGCCTCAAACTCCACATAGGGCCACTTTGGCATTTCCTTAATAATAATGTTAGGTTCTGCAAGAAAACCTTAGAGATCACTTTCTTAAACCCTGCCTTTCTAAGGAGGGAAGGCATACAGCTCCAATCATTAGAAGGATTAAAAACCTCATAGAGCTTACAATAATCACCAAAGCTAGACAAGTAGTTACCTGCAGTGAGTAAAATGTCTTCTTTTACATTCCACCTAAAAGTAAACTGTAGAACATGTAGTTGGACCTAGTTCTCGCCGCATCGTATGTATCTTGTTCCAAATGCTGGGAGCTGGTGCATTTCAAGGTGAACATCTACATGTAGGGATTTCAACTGGTATAAAACATCGCTGGATATCTTCAGGCATTTTTCATTTTTTAGTTTTGCTGCATAATCCAAATCCTTAGATTTCTCTTTTAATAAAAACGATGAAGGGCATTTCTGATAACTCTTTAGATGCCATGTGCCTCCTGAGAACTGCAGGTTCAAAGGGCTTGTATCATTTATTTGTATAAAGGGAGTGTTGGAAGAACAAGCTAACCCTTAGAAAACTGCAGTTACCTGGTAGATACTGTGTTGTCTGTGTTGGATAGAATGATTTTGTATTTCCCCTAAAGGTCAGAGCACATTACATATTCATGTTCTTATATTTCAGCAGAAAATGTATATGGTATGTTTTGGGGGGCAGTTTATAGTGAAGCTAGCCATTTTATAAAACATTTCAATTCATCTTGGAGGAGGAGAGAAGATAAATGTTCTGAACCTGCCAATGTAATTTAAAAAAAAAAAAAAAACCCGAAGACTTTTAGCTCCCAGTCAGTGTTTATGGTATTTCAAACGGTGAAGGGTTGGGTAGCAATGGAGCCTCAAAGTGAAAATGTAGCAGTGTGCAGGTGAGTTGGAAGAGCCTGTGATGCCATGCAGATTTACAGACTACTTGTCATGGGTAGAAGAGCCCAGCAGATGTCAGCTTCTCTAACGCTGTTCACCAGGTGATAGGAAGCCCTGTAGAACCGGGAGGGTGTCTGGGGAGGAACCTTTCTAACACTCACTCTATTTAATTGCAGTGAGCCATGCAGATAAACTGAAGCCAAATTTGGAAGATTAGTTATGAAGATCCTGCACGTTTCTAGTGTGTTTTAAGGATAATCCCTTCTATAAATATGCATGCAATAGTTTCATTAAAATTTACATTTTGAACCAAGTTGATTATCCTATTCAAATTTGGAACTACTTGGATCTTTTATTTAAATGCCTGTAATGGCAGGGAAACTTCAGTCTCATAACTGCTTCAAACTGCAGTGGCTATGGTAATTGAACCAGTAGTATTTAGAAATACAATCACAGTGTTTAAAAAAAAAAAGTATATGTTCTAGTGAGAATTGAGAATGAAATATTTGCTGGTGATAATATTAGAAACAGGAAGGATTGAGTGCCTGTGAGACAATTCCACAGAACAAACTCAACAGTATCAAAGGACAAGATGTTTATGCTAAGAAAACTCATCTATTTGACCCAATTTTTCTAATGTGCCAATTGACGCAAGATTCTTGATTCACATTTTCTTTAATTTGAGCACAGGAACCCTGATTTCAGTGTACATGTTAGTGGCATTAATTTAATGCATAAAATGGATGTGTGCAGATACTTTGAACTTGAAAAATTTTTGTCCTGGTGTGGATTGTATAGAAGTCACTTCAGTATTTTTTTTCTGTGTTTGCTAATGAGGAGCAGTCCTCATGTTTTTTTCAAGATCAACATGGTTATTTTACTAGATCACAACTATGCTGTGGCCAGTGAAAGCTGATTAAAAGAGCCTTACCTGAGTCTGAAAACCAGATGACAATTATATATCAACATTTAAAATGGACATGGAGCATTTGGAATTTAGTTACAGCTGCTATTACCTGACTAAGATAACTTTGTTAAAGTAATCACTGGAAAAGATTTGAAGTTAGTAAGTAGCTGTTCGCAGTAAGTGAATTACATTCATATTTTAATAAATCATTTCATGCTGTTTTAGCAGAGACTATGATGCAGTCTTCAAATATCACAAAGGTATATGACCTTGTTTCTTAGTAGTGGGGTAATACAAGCACCATAGGAGTAATCCCCTTGAAATCAGTAAGGTCATGGTAGATTTATACAGGCATGTGGTAAACAAGGACGGAATTGCGAGATGTTATAATGAGGTTTTGCTAAACTGACTGTTGAAAATTTGACCTTGTTACACTTGGCAATATGTTTATTTGAGTATGGGACAATTTTCTCCCTCCCCGCCCCCTTCAGTTTGCAAAGTCGTTTATGTGCTGCTGGTACATTTTCATGCTATATAGGTATGTGAAGTGTTTTGCCTCTGCTCTGTGCATCTGTGAATTTAAGGATAGAGGCAATTAAGGACTCAGAAAAAGGTGTTAATTTTCATGATATCTCTAAAATAAGGTTTTCTTTAAATATTGCCTTTTTAAATGTTCTTAAATGTTCACATACTTGCTATGTCAACTCTTGGCAATATCACATGTATTTTAATGCCATTCCTAAAATAACGTCATGGTCTTCTAGTCAGAGAGAAGTGTACTGGTCTAGTTTCTCCTTAGCTATTCCATATACTTGTAATCCAGAGAAAGCTGTTCACCCTTTTTCCTCCTGTATCCCAGTCTAAATCATAGAACCATAGAATCATTAAGGTTGGAAGAGACCTCTAAGATCATCGAGTCCAACCGTCAACCCAACACCACCACACCCACTAAACCATGTCCTTAAGCGCCTCATCTACCCGTCTTTTAAATACTTCCAGGGATGGTGACTCAAGCACTTCCCTGGGCAGCCTGTTCCAATGTTTAACCACTCTTTCAGTAAAGACATTTTTCCTCACGTCCAATCTAAACCTCCCCTGGCGCAACTTGAGGCCATTTCCTCTCGTCCTATCGCTTGTTACTTGGGAGAAGATATTAGCATGTGGATATTAGCAGCTTCCTCATTACATGGTGTTGATTACAGGTAAGTTGTATTTGGGTACAAAGTGTTATAAAAATTCGCATCATCTTTCTGCTTTTTTTTCTAATACTCTTCACTATCTGCCCTAACAAAAGCACAGGGAAGTCTTGTTAGCAGAATTTGCAAATCATCCTTCTGATAGGAAACATATGCTAACAGATAAAAACGAAACTTCAGTATTTTTCAGGGCTTTTTTCTTTGTGTTTACTTTGGGAGTTCTTTGTGTTTTCCTCTGAACAATATGGCAAGGTCTACTAACAGCTGTTTTTCTGTTTACCTGTGGACAAGCCAGTAATTGTACTTGCTTCAACTAACAGCCTCAGCATTTCTCAGTGGAAGCAGCCAAATCCCAGTTCAAGTCATCTTTATTAGTGAATTTCCAGCTTTAACCTGTACCCAACCATGTTTCAGTACAGAGCTTCACGAAGTTGACTCAGCAAGTTGTACGAGCCTTGTCTGAATACACGTCCTGGGTGGGTTTTTTGGCCTTGCAGTAGGAGCGTGCATCAGATAGATAGTTGCTTCAGTTTATCAGGGGTAGAGGTAAACCTCTAAAACTAGATCAATTTTATTTGAATTTTTTACCAGTGCAGAGGCAGTAGGTATGATTTTACACCCTTTATGAATGCGGTACATTTATTTTAGCTAACACACCTGGTAGATACCTAGAGTTACCATACAGCTTGCCTGAGCCGTGTTGTGCTTGGTGTCCTCATCACGATACCCAGTTCACCTCTGCTGGCCTGGCAGTCGTCAGCTGAGGATGGGCTGGCCTCCCTTGCTTCTTGGACCATGCTGGTCCTTGGCCTTACTGAGCCGTCTTCAGAGTCCCTGGGGCAGGGTTTCCCTCAGTGATTTTTATGCCTTCCCCCCCCTCCCCGCCCCCGCAGTTTTTTCTCCTGAGTTACTAGTACCATCTCAGTAGTTTCAGTTCTGTCCTAGCTTTTTTTTAGCTATTAGCTTATTATTTTAGCTAAAATTATTGTTTTATTATTTATTTATTAATCTTGCCTGGCTTTGGCTTATGTAGTAGCAGAGCCAAGGTTGCCCATCTGTTTCTCCAATAACTGCACTCTGGGGCACAGATACCTAAAGTCATAGGCATAGTGAGTTACAGGAAGAAATGCAAGTGATAAATAGTGATATAGTAGCAAGTCCTGCATAGAAAACAATGTAAAAAGTAGCCTTATTTTTAATGCATTTTCACATCTGTTGATGGCTGTTATTTCTTTTCCTTTTTGATCCAATAGAATAGTGAAACTGGCACAGCACAATGCAGTTTTGCTTCAACAGCATGATCAAAACGTTAAGAACGTTTTAAACTAGGGTTGAAATTGCAGTTGTAGAAAAAGAATTTTACCACATTTTATTTTACCTACGTACCTGAAAATTTGGATTATAAAATTAAGAAAAAGTGACTGCTTAAAATGTTTTATTCCAACATTGTGTATTGCATTTACTTCTGATTTATCAAATTACCTTTCTTCTTTGTTCTTAGGAGATTCTTAAGAATGAAAATTACAGAGAAGAAATGAAGCAGAAAATCAAAGATGTCTCCGAAAAGGATAAACTGCTTCAGGCCAAGGAATACAAGGAGGGACTTGTTGCTGAACGAGTTCATACTCATGTTAAAGGCCACGCCTCAGCCCCTTACTATGGAAAGAAAGAGCCTTCACAAGACCCAACAAGCACTGCGAGTAGCTTTCAGCCAGGCTCCTGGATGCCACCAGGCAGTGGTAGTAGTCATAATAAATAAACAGTTGCAATGTACAGATAGTGCTAAGGGATAAATATTTTAACAGGCAACATAAACAGCTGTTACTGAGTATGCAATAAAAAAATATTAAAGCAGTTTCATTTATTTTTGCAGAACTGTTCAAGTAGGCTAAATCATGACAAACTACTGTAAAACGTTTGGGTTTCGTGAAAACCAGGATGTGTTACTAAGTAAGTTTGTTTTCGACAGTTGCTCTTCATCAGTTACTCATGAAATCATAGGTAGAAGGTTTTCTAGCTACCTTAATTTTCTTAAGTAATTCTAAGTTGTTTTTTCCTTGAAGACTCATTTATTTTTAAAATTGTTTTTGATGTAATAAATTTTAGTTAATCAGTACACTTAAATTTTCCCAAACCGAGGCATCAGTTTAAGATAGTTCTTCAGAATGCTTGTTATGCCCTCGGCAGGGCTGGCGCGCTTTCCTCTGGCCAGTGGATGGAAAAGTTGCTTTCATTAACAGGCATCACTACGGCACTACACTGACTACGCACCGTATTAGAGACATTCTTGTAACTTAAGTTTAAGAAAACAATCAACATGTTTGAATAATGTTTGATTTGCAGCCAGCAGTAAACACAGGGTAAAATCAGGCTGAGTGAAACTACATATAACTACTACAACAGAGGTTATAACAGGTTATAACAGGTTAGAGGCACTTGGTAAAGCTGCTGGAAAATAACACAGGGTTTGGGAACAAGGGACTGTCCTTTTATATTAAAAGGATAAAAAGGATTGTCCTTTTATATTAAAAAAATAAAATCAGGATTTTTTTTTCTGGTGTGTGCGGGGACTTCCCTAAACAATTAGGTCGATTTGGCCATAGTTTAGATACGTAAGATGTGCAGATTATTTGCTTAGAGATGGTGTTTGAGAACTTCAAGTCAAAATAAAGATCACTCAATTTTTTGGAAAAAAGTATCAAATTTATTTATGCAGTGCATCCTTCATCAGTTCTCCTCCATGCGTTTTAAGCTATGTGGGTATCAAAGGTGCAACACATACACATTTGACAACACATGAGGCAAAACACTGGAGACTTAATCCCATGTATTTATAAAATGCCGAAATGTCATATTCTAATAATGCTTGCTTTGACCAACAAAATTGAAAGAGGATCAACAATACTTCACATTTACTTTGTCATTTCAGTTAAGATTCCCCACTTCTAATCCCCCTTTGTGTCAGCCAGCTCTATAGGTCTCCTTATTGGAACAACGGTATTATTTTAAGGTTTTATTTTTAAACGTAAGTTGCTAGAGAGCACAACTCTGTGCTAAGTCTAAAAACCTAATGACTGCCACAAGCTCTTTAGAACTAGACTATTAATAAAAGTTAGGCTTTGAAAAATCAATCACTTCTGTTAGAAAAACATGAGTTGGAATGAAGGTTAAATAATTTTGGCGTATTTACAACACATACCCCACTTGGACTTTTTCCCGTATGCCAGCATTTTGCAACCTGGAAGGCAGCGGTTTCCAAGGGCAGTGAGAACAAAGATCCCAAAGATCAGAAGGTCCTAAATCAAAGGTAGCCAGAAGGTTACCCACTAGGAAGAAGTACTGTCACCAGCGTGCGCATCCTGCTCCTGTACCCTCCCACAGCCACCTGCTCTAGGTCACTAGGACACAGCACACTAGGCCCCCTGGGCCTTTGGTCTCACCCCATTTATGGCTATTCTTTGAGGCATAAAAAGTTTCTGACAGCCAAAACAAATCAGTCACAGGTGGAGTGTTCAGGTGATCGTTAAGGAAAACCAAACAGCATAGTAGTAGATTTCGTAGAACACGAGCGGCTAAGACAAACGAAGGTCACAAGAACAAGCACTCCGTTTCCTAGAGTTTGGGCTGAATTTAAAGACTGTTGATGGCTGGTAGTTCAGGAAACAGGAAAAGCTAAGTTAGTTTCTTTTCGCAGCCAAGCCCCGCCATCGAAGACACGACAGCAGACCCTATGGGCGCACAGCCGAACGAACCACAGGGCCACGTGGAGTGTCCTTAAAGGAAATCAGTAAGGTACACTACCTAACTCTGAAGTTAGCTCATCTCTACAGCTCTGCTGAAGGTATACCAAAACTTGCCTTTCTGTAATCCAGTTTACCATTCACATTTTCCCCATAATTTGACAATTTTAAGACACTTATTAAGTCATAGCTTAGCTAAGGGGGGAAAAAAAAATCTACCTCCATAGCCACCCAACAGATTAATTTTTTAACATGCAAATTTAGAAAAGCAACCTGCACTAGAACACGAGTAGTAGATTAAATGATTGTAACAAGTGTCACTTGGGCAACTGACACAGATCATCTCAGGAGAAAAAAAATACACTGAAGGGATTAAATTTCATACTTCAAGAAATAACAGGATCAAGTATCAAAGGACAGTTACAACACAAAATATACAAGCGTTTCCTTAAAAAAGTGGATTCTTTGCACAAGAAGGCCTTTTTTTTCCCCCCCATTTAATCCTTCTTTGTTCGTTTGGCTTTTGCAATATTCTCTTGGCGTTTCTGTTTCTTCTTTTGCTCTCGCTCCCTGGCCTCAATCATTTTTGCAAGCTTCCACGAAAGCGCTGCACTAATGATGAACAGTGGTGTAAGGGCCAAGATCACTGTAGTAAGAAAGCCGTATGGGTCCTTTGCAGCCCACTCCACGATGTATTCAGCCCAAGCCTTAATATCAAACATTTTTTCTGTTTTTCAATTGGGAAAACCCTAAAAAAAAAAAAAATGTGAGTGTTCAGAAAAATAAAAGCACACATACACAGCAATTACCATTTTAATGTAAGTCGTTATTTTTCGTTATTGAAGAGCAAGTTCATATCTGCTCTAAGTTAAAAGTAGTGCACAGTACGTGAAAGTAAGCGTAATACGACCTAAGTGCTGACCCTACCTGAGAGTACAGCGTTTACAAAATAATTAGGCACTTCATCCAGCAGAGCTTCAGACGCTACCAAGAAAAAATTGCTACGTGGAAAAAAAAGTGAGGTCTGTGCTCCTTTGGAAGAGGAGTGCCCAGCTGGTCCATCTTTCTACAGGTTTTACCGGGGAGGGGAGGGAGCCGGGGCAGTCCTTCAACACTGAACTAGCCAGAGTCGGCAAGTCAGAAACAACGTAAAAGCCCTGTCGGCAGCGAGCGCGACGCTGCCGCTCTG